GAGTTTCTTCCTTTCGCGTGTTGACTGCGCCAAAACAAATCTATCAACCTTCCTGTTCTGTTGGGTCTTGATGTTTCCATATATTCTAGCAGTGTCTAACTCCACGTTCTTTTGTATCCGAAGGATAATGTGTTGGAAACCATTTTTATCGATTCATAAATCTTTCTCTAGAGCTTCAGCTTCTTAGCAAAATTGTTATTCAAACAGGCCTTCATGCGCTTTATAGCACATTTGAAAAGCTTATCAGGAAACACATAATACGTCTTTAAGTTAAAAGCCAATAGGGACCACATGATATCTTCTACACGTTGTTAAAAACATAACAGAGTTCTTCAGACTGGCATACGATCTCAAATATAGTTTAACAGTTTATAAAATCAAGCAGCTTTCGACCGTACTGCTGTGACAATATAATTCAGAAAGGCATAGTTTGCTTATTACATTTTACGTTAATTTACCGGAAAATAGCTATTTGCAAACGGGAAAGTTTTCATCGACTATTCGCATAAGTAAAGTTTATTTTAACTTGAGCACAGCAAAAGCGGGGCTGGTATTGTTCAACTTAAAATACAATTTTATTGCAAGAATTACCTTTTCATACATTGCGGCTTCATTATGTTAATCATCCTCATGCAGAGGCAATTAAATGAGGCGAGGTCGGAGGCAGCGGTGGTATCTGCCGGGTACTTCGAGGAAACTGTACAGCTCCGCTATAACTGCATGTATTTTTTCCTCAAACCGACAATCACTGACCAAGGGCTATGTACAACTTGAATCCAAACAGCTATTCATTTGTTATCATCGTAAAATCTGGTCAATTCGAAACTTAAGAAAAAAACTTACCGCATATCAGATAAAAATACAATTATCAAAAGGTTGGACGCACAGTATTTTAAACTGTGATATTGAATCCAATCATAGCATATTTCCCTTCAAATCTGAACGCAAAATTTATCTGCTTAATGAAGCAGACAATAAGAAACAAGAAAGGTTATCACCGTTATTGGATATATAAGTGTTCCAAAGATTCATGATTCAGGGCACAAAATACAGCAGATAGTAAAACAATTCATTGTCGATGCGTTTCGCTACATAGACCAGAGCATCATCAGGGCCAGGCGAAGTACAAACTACTGCTTGAACACATTTATACTCCGCAAGCAAACAATACCTTACAAGCAAAATGTTATCAAACTGACCAGCCAGAATGTTAATCAACAAAGAGTGTGAAGTTCTCATTAATACGACTGGATCATTGTGTTATCACCGCTATTAACTACGTGCTTAATTCATTGTTTAAAATAGTAATTAAAATTAAATATC